TTTGTTGATAGTTAAATGTTTATTTCAAACCCTACTCCACCGCTACAACCATAGTCGGCAACCACCACAACCACCATCACAAACGTCGCCAACACAGCCTCACCAATCGATGGCAAACCAAAAACAATGAGAATCTCCAACACCAACAATATGGCCGCCGTCGCCACAGAAATTATTAGATCCACAAAACCACCACCCCCACCAACAATATCACTGCACCACCGCCGCAAAACAAAAATCCAAATCTGCACAATCGCCACCACCACCATTCTGATCGGAACCCCCCCACCTCTAATCGACCTTACGCAAGCCATCATGGTGCCCAAGAAACTAAAAGTGCTGAATTCAAACAAACTAATATGTCTCTATCTCTATAGACTCTCAACAGAGTCCACCGTCTACACCAATTCCAAGTCACCACTTCAGATCTGTCAATGTTGGTGCTGGTTAATTCAATTATTTTTTGAATTGATCAGTTGCAGAATATGCTAGGTCGCAAGCGAAGACTCCGGTGACTTTTGGCCCGATCGATCTGGTTTGCCGTCGGACCTTACAAGGTCACACAAGAAAGGTAGAGAGAGGGGTGTCGACTGTTGTAGAGAAGAAGGGGGATGTCGACTGTGCCGCGACGATGGAGGGATGCCAAGTCTCCAACTGTCGGCGATGGCTTCGCGATGGGGAGAGGTTGTAGATAGGTTAGGCTTCGCGATCTGGTTTGTTGTAGATAGGTGAGGTGGTGCCGACGGTATCATGCCGGCGGTGTGGTGGCGGTGAGAGAGAGAGAGGGCGGCGACGAGTCGAAAATGTAGAGAGAGAAAGAGACACAGGTGAGAACTAATGAGAGATAGAGAGGTGAGTTAGGGATTTAGGTTAAGTTGGGGTGGGTATATATAATTTAATTTTCACAATATTTTTAATAATATTTAATTAAAGATAAAAAATTTGTATCTATACATTTAAATATCTGATTTTTGAAACTTAAAAATACTAAATCTGATTTTAAAAATTGAATTTTCAAATGTAGGGGAGAGTGTAATTTCCACATGGATAAATCTTAATCTTGAAATTCATGTACTCATTTATCTTGATTGTATTAATTGCTTATTATAATTTAATGAACCATGATACCATACTAGCTAGTATCTGATGCTCCATATTAAAATATCAATCTTAGCACTTGTTTATCTTCCATTGAATTAAAACTCTTTTTTTTTTTTTT